AATATAGTGGTTGTAGTTGGTTATATTGTCAGTGAGAAACCATTTGTTGAATAGATTTTTTTTTTTTGGTAAAACAAACAATTGAAATGTTAATACTCTATATTATTAAGGTTTGTGTTTCTTATTAGTATGGAAATAGTTATGGTGACGGGTTTTAGTTCTAGATTTGCCTTGGACTCATTCTTTGATTTCCGAGAGAAAATTCTTAATACTTGTGCTTCAGATATTTTATATATCTGTAAAGTGCTTGGCCTTTTTGGCAGTCAAGCATCACAAAAAGCATGGATATCAGTATTTGAAAATTTTGTATAGGAGAATGAAAGGAGAAAGTCTGTTAATGCTATTGTGATAGTCATCTTGCCCAGTTTATAAATTCTTTTTGAACTCTGCGTTGGTGTAACCTATTGAGGATGGTTATGATGTGAATTTTCCTTCCTATTTGATCTGAAAGGCTTTCCAAAAGATGTCTTTATAATAATGGTAAATTAGGTAACCAGTGGGGGTTAGGGGAAGGGCGTTTTAAAAAAACTTCATTATGACAGCATTGAAAGAGGAAGCTAATCTGTATTGTCAGCTCTGGCCACAGCTAGAGCTAGTCATTTCTTGACAGATGAAACCATTTCTCAGAAAACATACTGTTTGAGGGTGCAAGGCGGAGGGAATCTTCATTAGAAGCTTACTTGATTTTTATCCAACTTATAAATCACAGTTCTATTTGGGTATTGTATTTCTTCATTCACTTGATGACAAGAATTAAGACCAGATCATACCCCATAGCAGCATAATTCTTGATAGTTTTGCTATTGATATTATTATATGTTAACAAATAAGATTTCCTGTGAAGTGTGGTTTGGTAGTTTTGTGGTATCTCACGCAATACAGTTTGATTTCTGTAGTTTCATTTCTCTCCCATTGTTAGATCCTTAAAAAGACCATGGTGGTGGTTGGGGGATGAAAAATAGGAAGAGGAAGATAACCATGTACTTAGAAAGATGATAGAGGGCCTCCCTGGTGGCGCAAGGGGGGAAAAGCAACCTATGAAGCTGTTTTGCAGCCACTGCAGCCACTCCCCGGCCCGCCAGGGAGCAACCCACATGGTGCAGCAGACCTCACCTGACTCGTCTGCTGCTCCCCTCAGCAGTGTGTTTCAGTCATTCTGCCTGTTCTGTGCCCCATTTCTGTTTCTAGTGAATCCTCTCAGCCCCCACACTTCTGGCCTGTACCCCAGTTCTTATATGCATAAATAAATAAATCTTAAAAAAAAAAGATGATAGAGTTCTTGGGCTTTGGGATTTATTTATAGCCCAAAGGTTATGATGCTCTTTTATTTCAGAGGTTACCACACAGAATAAACTGTGGGACAGGAAAATCTGTAACTTTTTTTTCCTTCTTCAGAAGTCAGAAGTTTGGTTTGAAATGAACAATTTACAGATTTGTAGCTGACTATTAGTAACAGGGCAGGAAAAGGAAAGATTTGACTACCATATTGTAAAGGTTGTCTACTCTCTCAGGTATTTTAAACTACATTAAAAAGTGATTCTTAACTAGAGAAAAAGCTTTGTCCCTTATTGCGAGAGACTATAAATCACAATGTCACAATTTCGCATAAATTGTCTTTAATAGTTTCACTTCTTGAAATGTGTACATTATGTTTGTAGATAGTTTTAAAGTGGTATGTTTTATTTAACTCAGGAAATGTTTTTTTCTGCGCAGATTCTCTTCTGAATCAAAAAGTGATTTACTCAGCATACTATTTGAGGAGAGGTAGAGGGAAGTTTAATTAATATAATCTTAATAGAAGATCTGAGTATCTGGTAATGTAGGTTTGAGAGTTTTGTTTTTTATAAAAGTCCTTAGGGGAAAATACAAATTCAGTCAACATTTGTAGCCTGTTCTAAATAACTATACTTTCCCAAACAGTAGCTCCTTTTAAATTTTTGGGGTTTTGTGGTTTTTGTTTTGTTTTGTTTTGTTTTTTGTGCCAAAACCTGGCACTGAACTACCTCCATATTTTAGCCTTACTAGCTAGCAAAATTTAAAAAAAAAATTTTTTTTCTGAGAAAATTCAGTGTTCCTTTGCTTTTACTGACTGGTTTAAGTAAAGGACAGTGGGAAGCAAGGCTACTGCCTGGGGCCAGGTTCTGTTGGACTCCTGGTGCTTTTGTAGTAGTGCCCTGTTCTGTGTTGCTCAGAAGCCACAGCTTGAGGCATTAATGGATCTATACTTAATCCATGTGCAGTCTGGTGTTTTTTAATGTGTTGGAGTGACACCTGGTGTTCTTATTAAAATTGGAGGCTAAACGTTATGAATTATAGTTCAGTGCCCTAAAGGTAGGATGTCAGATACTGTTTTTAAAATAAACTGCAGAACCTCCATAGCTGTGGAAGGATCTGAAATGGCACTCTAGAGGGACCGTCACAGTCTTTATGGATTCCTACTTTGTGCTGGCCAAATTACTGTTTCAGTTGTGCAGCAGATATGATGAACCTAAGGAAATACATCCATTTGGTATTATTTTATTGGAACTTGAACTTTAGGGATTGTGTAGCGTTCTAAAAGCATTTATCATTTTCCTGATTTGTATTATCTAGGAGATCAATGGTCTTATTTTGTAAATTAGGTAGCTGACCTTTTTATACTGTCTCATACAACAGTTAAAGGGTGATTAAAGTGTTAAAAAAAAAAAGTGACTGTTTAAAAAAAATGCTTGCTGACATCATCTTTCCGAGAACACTAGTATAACTGATTTACTATAACAAGATCTTAGTTTTTCCTTTTGGCAAATGACATGTAATATTTACAGAGGTCTTGGGTGTGGTCCAGCAGAAAAATCTCAGATAAACCGAAGTGTGAAACTAAAGCCCTTTAACATTTTCTTTCATATAGAGTTAATGTAAACTTTATTTTCTCCCCAGTTTTTAGTTTAAAAGTGAGGAGAAATGAATATTTAGTATAGATTTTCCTTGATGGGAGCAGCTTGTAATCAAACATATGCTCTGGAATTAAACATCTAATGTGTTCTTAATTTTTTTTTTATGAATCAAGAAAGGTTTATTAAAAATTATCCATTAAATTCTTTTTTTAATTTTATTTTTTTAATTTAAATATTTTATTTTATATAATTCTTACATCTTTTTTCATCTTTGCACAATGTATGCATTTTCATTTTGGTTATATTCCCCATACAATTGTAAACCCCCCCCCCCCTTATTTTGACTCTAGTCCTTCCTTTCCATGCCTCTCCCTCCATACCTCCCCCTCCCCAGTGCATCTCTGGTTTATAGTTGCTTGTTGATTTTGACTTTTACTTTGTATTGATTAGTGGTGAGGTTGTGGAGAAAAGGGAACTCTCCTGCACTGCTGGTGGGAGTGCAAACTGGTCCAACCACTATGGAGAGCTGTGTGGAGATTTCTTGAACTACTAAACACAGAGCTTCCATATGATCCAGCAATTCCACTCCTAGGTATTTACCCAAATGACACAGAAACATTAATTCCAAAGGGCACCTGCACCCCTATGTTTATAGCAGCACTATTTACAATAGCAAAGTATGGAAGCAACCCAAATACCCAAAAATAGATGACTGGATCAAGAAGATGTGGTTCATATACACAATGGAATATTACTCAGCAATCAAAAAAGATAAACACACGCAGTTTGCAGCAACATGGATGGAGCTAGAAGGGATCATGCTCAGTGAAATAAGTCAGAAAGAAAAAGAAAAATACCGGATGGTCTCACTCATAGCAGGAATTTAGAAAACCTAAATAAGAGACCAGGAAAAAGACTAATCAATACAAAGTGTTCTTAATTTTTAATTCTGATAGTTGTATACTTAGGATTCTGCACTAATGTTAATTCTGTTTTTTTTTTTTTTTTTTTTTTAATAGAGGCATGTTTTATTTATTTATTTATTTGTTTGTTTGCTTGTTCGTTTATACATGCACTGGGTACAGTCAGAAGCGCGGGAGGGTGAGAGAATTCACCAGAGCCAGAGCGGGGAGCAGAGCAGGCAGAAGGACCGAAGCACACTGCTGAGGGGAGCAGCGGGTGGCAGGAGAGGTCTGCGCGCCATGTGAGACCCTCCTCTGGTGGCCGGGGAGCAGCCGGGGATCGAACTGGCGCCGCAGAGGCCGCGGGCAGCCTCGCAACCCAGCGCTCAACCGCTGCGCCACCGGGGAGGCCCAAATTCTGTTGTTTTTATACAAGTACTTTCCTGTGTAATGCTTCTTTCTCTTCCCATCAAAACGCTATAAGGTGTATTTAAAACTATTCTCTTGTTTTGTTCTAATACAATAAGAAGTTAAGGTAAAATGAGTTTGAAGCAGTGTTATAATTCCAGAACCACTTTTTGAATAATAAAGTTCTGTGCTGAACCTTTAAGAAAAAATGGCAAAGGTAAAGTTTTGTACCCCACATTAAATTAACATAAATTCTAAGTCTATGAGATTGTACTTTTAAAAACTATAATGCAATCTAAGTAATGAAAGCATCTTTAGTTGTCTTTTAAAGAATTGGAATATTCCAGCTATCCTTAAATTTTTTAAATATTTTTAAATACACAGTAAATGCTAAAAATTTAAATATATTTGAATGCATGTCTGCTGAGGTAAAGAGGGTGAAATATAGTTACTGTGGAAATCTAGTCTCATTTATTTGAGATAGACTTACCAGTTCTTCGGCACCAAAAACTGAATGATCCTTTTATTTTTAGAAAGCTTAGTTTTATTCCTTTTATTTACTGTGTTTTACTCTTTGCCAATTTTTCAAATTACAATAGCTAATCTGAAAAAAAAAAAAAAACCCAAAAAAGCCCTTATGAATTATATTTGTTTACTTAATATTACAAAAATGAGGGACTAATTTAGGATTTAACTCAACTCTTCTCTGCTTATTTTTTGTTTTGCTTTTATCTATAATTTTATACCTACCGTATTAATATTAAATTTTTAGGAATAAGTCTGAATGACAGTTACAGTTTATCATTCTCTATTTCAGATGATCACAGTCGTGTTAAACTGCAAAACGCTGAAAATGATTATATAAATGCCAGTTTAGTTGACATAGAAGAGGCGCGAAGGAGTTACATCTTAACACAGGCAAGTAGTGTGATGTCAGTGCCTGACAGTGCAGCTTAATGTGGTTGGTTTGCTTTATTTGTTTGTTCAAATACAGTGGAATTTTATTTAGCCATGTTATAATGTGGATACTTCTTGAAAAGTTAAGCTAAGTGAAAGACGCTAGATTCAGAAGACTACACATTGTATTGTTCTATTTATATAAAATGTCCAAAATAGGGAAATCCATAAAAACAGAAAGTAGATCTGTGGTTGTCATGGACTGGAAGGAAGGGTGAATGGAGAATGACTGCTAACAGGTATGGGGTTTTTTGGGGGAGTGATTAAAACGTTCTGCAATTAAATATTGGTGATGATTCCTCATCTTTGTAAATATATTAAAAAACGTTAAAGTATACACCTCAAAAGTTTGAATTTTATGGTGTGAATTATACCTCAAAAAAAGGAATTCTAACAGAAGGCAATATATACTATCAGTACAAGACAATATAAATGCTATGGTGACACCTTTTAGTACAGTACTAAGTCAAGATTTGGGGGATGTAAAGAACAGGGAAAACTCTTACGGCATGACTGCTAAATTGACTCTTAAGGCATAAGTAGGATTTAACTAGGCAATAGGAATGTAAAAATAGACATACATGCTTTGCTTTAATTTGTGATATAAACTCCCTTTCTTCACGAATCATTTTCTCTCTCTTTTCTTAATGAGTACCAGTTCTCTGCTAAGGTACTTTTTACCCCCTAAACTGTCCGGTCGTATCCACATTTACTAGGGTGGTAGTCTTAGGCAGGATCTGCATTCTTCTCATCTCTCAACATTTGTTTCAAAACCATCTTTACTTCACTGTCATACAAACATAATCTTTCCTCTCCTCCACTGATTGATGCCAGTTGGGTATAGTAGCTATAAGACAGAGGCTATAGAGGAGAGAAGGGGTGGGTGTGGTTTAGCTGGTAAACCTTTGTTAAGGCTTTTGTTCAGAAGGGAGTTCTGTCTTGGCTTGGCCATGATGTTTACTGACAGCTCTCAGAGTAAACTCTGCAGAATTTCCTTTTGTACTGGGAAGTTCATTTGATTTCCACAGGTGACAGGGGAATGGACCATGCATATTTGTGACACAAGTGAAATATTAGATTCTTGGATCTAGTTAGTAGTTATAGCCCACTACTGAATTATCCTACTACTGAACGTTCTCCTGTATGAGCTTGTGAGATCATCAGCCTCTTCACTTTGGCTCAGTTTATCGTTTTAGAAGATGAATCAGTCCCTCTTAAAGCTGGTTCTGGAATAATGACCTTATTTTACTGAATGATCTGCTTTAAAACATAGATAAAAGTATGTCTTGACCTCTTTTGGAAATGAAATGCTATTTCATTTTTTTCCGATTATGTAATGAATAGTAGACACCTTAGTGTTTTGAACAGCTTTGTGTATATTAAACAAAATTTAAGGTTATTTTTAATGTTATATATTCAGTGAAGAAAAAAAATTATAAATGTGATGGCTTCAAGCAGTTAGACAGATTATCTTCCTTGCCTTATATTTTATGCAAACTGTTAATTCGTAATTTCTCCCATTTCTCGTCACATAAGCTGTATCATAATTAGAGCCCCCCCTTCACATAATATTTACTTCTAGATTTATCTACCTATATGGTGAACCGTATGAACCACACTTGATATGCTACATTCAAATCTATTACTACAGAGTTAGTTCTAGCTTTCACCCTTCCACATTTATAAACTCTATTCTCTGACAGTGGGAAACTTGAGTGTTATTATCCTCAACATTCCAATTTTCATTTTTCTTTTTTAAACTTCATTCCCCTTTGCCTCCCATCATTATCCCTTATATCTCCTTGTTCCTTTCCCAACTGTCTCTCTCTTAGCCTCAGAGCCTTAAGTATACTTACTGATGTCCACTAGGTTTTAAAAGTATTTTTACCTTATCAATTTTTGCTTTATAAATGTTCAGTGTTTGTTTTTATCATTTTGCAGTACATAATTCTCTCAAATTCCCTCCATTTTGTTGAAAACAGCTTCTTGCATCCTTATTTATAGCTATGTAATCTTCTTGGTCAAATTGTCCATCAGTGGACATCTAGGCTGCTGACATGTCCTAACTATTGTAAATACTGCTGCTGTGAACATTGTGAAACATACAGGTTTTTCTGTAGATGGTTTCATATTCTGTGGAATATATACCCAAGTGGGTAATCCGCTTTACTCTCTTATGTATAACTTTTTAATTTTACCAACACCATTTATTGAAGAGACCATCTGTCTACCATGTTATGGTCATAGCTGCTTTTTTCATAGATTAGGTACTGATATGCATGTAGATTTATTTCTGAACTTCTGATTCTATTCCATTGATCCATGTGTCTGTTTTTGTGTCAATGCCATATTGTTTTTAATACTGTTGCTTTATAGTAAAGTTTGAAGTGAGGTAACTTGATACCTCCATTTCTCTTTGCAGTTTGAGGCCTTTTGTGATTACATATAAATTTCAATCTTTTTTCATTAAGTTTCTTTGAAAAATATAGCTGGAATTTTGAAGGGGATTATGTTAAATTTGTGTGTCCTTTTAGGCAAGATAGTCATTTTGTTCATATTGAGTCCATTGATGAACATTGGCTATCTTCCATCTCCTTGTGTTGTTATCTAAATCCTTAAATAACATCTTGTAGTTTTAATTGTTTAGGCCTGTTACCTACTTTTTAGGTTGATGTGGAGGTATGTCATTCTGTTTGAAGCAATTATAGTTATTTTCTTTTTTGTTATTGGTATATAAAAAGGCTATGGATTTTTGCATGTTGGTTTTGCCAACATGCCAGTAACTTGCCACTGCTCTATGCATTTATTATTTCAATAACTTGGAATCTTTAGGATTTTCTATATATAATGTCATCTGTGTATAGTGATAGTTTCACTTATCTTCCAACTTGGATTCCCTTTATTTCCTTATTTGCCTGATAGCTTTGGCCAACCTTTAGTACTAAATTAAACAGAAGTGATGACAATGGGCATCCTTGTCTTGATCCTGATCTTAAAGGAATAGCTTTCACTTTGTCACTATTTAGTATTATATTGGCTGTAGGTTTGTGATTTGTCAACTTTATTATATTGAGGTGTAGGTTCTTTCTATTCCCATCTTGTTTCGCGTTATCATAAATGTGTACTGAATCTTATCAAATGCTTTCTCTGCATCTTATTTATATTATCACTTGATTTTTTTATCTTATTGATATGATGTGTTATGTTGATTTATATATAGTAAGTCATCCTGGCATCCATGGGCTACATCCCTCTTGATCGTGGTATATAATTCTTGTGGTATACTGTAGAATTTGATGTGTGCTACTATTTTGTTGAGAAGTTGTGCATTGATGTCTATCTAGGGATGTTGGTCTATCATTTTCTTGTACTGTCTTTGCCTGTTTTTGCTATTAAGGCAATGTTAGCATCATAAAACATATTTGGGTATGCCTTCTTGCATTTTTAAAAACAAGTTGAGCAAGATGAGCATTAGTTTTTCTTTAAAAGTTTGATAAAATTTATGTTATGGCATCTGGTCCTGGATTTTTTTTTTGGGGGTTGGGGGGAGATTTTTTTTCACTGTTTCCGTTTCCATGCTTATTATCAGCTTATTCATTTGATCTTTTTCTGCCTGGGTTAGTAATATTGGTAGACTATATTAATGTAGAAATTTATCTATTTCTTAAAGACTGTCAAATTGATTGGCCTGTAGTTGTTCATAGTAATTTCTATAATCATTTTGCATTATGTATTTTTGCCCTATCTGTGGTGGTTTCTTTTTCGTGTGATTGTGATTCTGTTTATTAATATTTCTTTCTCATTTATTTAACCTAACTAGAGATTTGCCTTTTTTATCTTCTCAAAGAATCAGCTCTTGATTGCATTGACCTTTTTTTGGGTATAGTCTTTTTGATCTCTATTTCAGTTATCTCTTCTTTTTGTTATTTACTTTTACTAATTTGGGTATTTGTTTCTCCTTTTCAGGTTGCTTTAGGTGTAATGTTAGTTTATTTGGGATTTTTCTTCTTACTGTGGGCCTGTATTGCAATTCTCTTCCCTCTTAATACCACTTTTGCTGCATCCCATAGATTTTGGTGGTTTGTATCATCATTTATTGTTCATCTCAAGGATTTTTTCATTCCTGTTACCCAACTGCTAGTGAGTAATGTGTTGTTTAGTCTCCATGCACTCATAGTTTCTTCTTTTTTCTTTATAGTTGATTTCTATTTTTATGGTATTATGGTCAGAGAAAGTATTAAGTACAATTTTGATCTTTGTAGTTTTATTGACAGTTGACTTGTGTACCAGATATGGTCTATTCTTGAAAATGTTTCATATTCACTGGAGAAAAGTGTGTAAGTAGTGGTTTTAGGGTAGAACTATTTGGTCTAATTCCTTATTTAAAACTATTATTTCCTTATTAGAGCTATTTAAACCTCTGCTTTGTCTTGTTGATCTGTCCACATTTTTAAGTGGGGTATTAAAGTCACCTAGTATTAAATGTTGTTACCAGCATCTCTGTTAAATCGTTACTGCCTTATGTATCTAGGTACTCTATCATTTGGTGCATATATATTTATAAGTGTCCCTTACTTTATTACAATCTTAATCATAATACAGCATCCCTTCTCTATCTCATTACCTTTCTTAATTGGAAATCTATTTTATTAGATATAAGTATAGCTGTTTCTGATTTCCTTTTTTTTTGGTTGCCATTTTTCTGTCTAATTGTATTCCAAGCTTTAACTCTCTGTATTTGTCTTTATTGGTAAGGTGAGTTTCTTGTAAACAGCGGAATGTTGGACTTTGTTTTCAGATTAATTCAGGTAGTCTGCATCTTTTGATTGGTGTGTTCAGGCCATTTATATTTAAGGTGACTATGAGACATAAGTGCTCATTGCTATTTGGTTTGTCTTGTTATTTTTTGAGGGCTTCCTGTTATATTTTCTTTAAGTTCCATTTCCGTTGTCTTATATGTC